TGCTAACTTTGACGGCTCAAAAAAAAAAAAAAAAAAAAAAAATTATACCCCCTTCCTGGCCTCTTCTGGCTTTGGACTAAAGTCTCATCTTGCCTCAGACCAAAATAAAAAAGTGTTTAATTTTTGAAGGTTGATCAAACAGTTTTTTAGAATGTAGAAAATGTAACAGCTTTCTCACTCTTCAAAAACAAGCATTATTCAGGAAACTCATAGCCTTGGTCTGACAATTTTTATATAAATATAATTAATCTGTTTAGCCTTTCATTGTCAAACAAAATTGTTTAGCATTGTCTGATTGAATCAGCTTGTTCTGAGATTCCTATAGAGATGTTTATTTTCCTAGAGGAAAATAGAAAACAGTCTTCCAGGGAAGCTAACAAATTTTTTGGGGAGAAGAATAAAGATATGATATATTTTGACTACTGAACCTCCCAGCACTGATTACAGCCCCGCCTCCCCAGCCATTCCCCCTGCCAGGCTTCTGTCAGGCGTCCAGCTGGAAAAAGCGGAAAATACCGGACATTTTCTTATTATTTTTGCACCCAGATGGCCCCTGGCCTCATGTACCGGTGAGGGGTTCTAGAGCCCAATCCCACCTACCTTGAACGAGTTCTGTCCGGTCCCAAGAAACCAGCCACATCCCTGGTCAATTTACCTTCTGGACCTTACCCACAAATCACGCGGCACCAATCCCTTAGAATCTATGATCTAAGGCTACGTCTAGACTGGCATGATTTTCTGGAAATGCTTTTAATGGAAAAGTAAACAATACTGTGCTCTTTACACTGGCCATCTTGCGCAAATGATTTGCACAAGAGGGTTTTTGCCCGCACAGGAGCAGCACAGTATTTCTGCAAGAACACTGACAATCTTACATGCGATCGCCAGTGTTCTTGCAGAAATTCAAGCGGCCAGTGTAGACAGCTGGCAAGTTTTTCTGCAAAAGCAGATGATTTTGCAGAAAAACTTGGCATTCTAGACCCAGCCTAAAGGTTTATTACCACAAGAAAGAAAAGCATGAGAGTAAGGTTAAAGGATAGTGCATTACATGCATTGAATCTCCCGGTACTCATAAGACTTTAAGGTCAGAAGGGACCATTATGATCATCTAGTCTGACCCCCTGCACTGTGCAGGCCACAGAATCTCACCCACCCCTCCTAGAATAATCCTCTCACCTAGATCTCAGATATTGAAGCCTTCAAATACTTTGAAGACCCCAAGATGCAGAGAATCCTCCAGCTGTGATCTGTGCCCCATGCTACAGAGGAAGGCGAAAAACCTCCAGGGCCTCTGCCAATCTACCCTGGAGGAAAATTCCTTCCCGACCCCAAATATGGCAGCTAAACTCTGAGCATGTGGGCAAGACTCATCAGCCAGACACCCAGAAAGTTCTCTATAGTAACTCCTATCATCCCTCCATTGACCTATTTCCCACTGATAATGAATGGTCAATTAGTTACCAAGATCATGTTATCTCATCAAACCATCCCCTTCATAAACCCATCTAGTTTAATCTTGAAGCCAGATAGATCTTTTGCCCCCACTACTTCCCTTGGAAGGCCGTTCCAGAACTTCACTCCTCTAATGGTTA